GTTTTCCCATCCCGCGTATGGATGTGACGCTTGACGCACTGGGTCGGTCGACCATCTTTTCTACCTTGGACCTAAAGTCGGGCTACTGGCAAGTCGAGATCAATCCGGATCACCGTCAGAAGTCAGCATTCGTAATTCCGTCTGGGCTCTATGAGTTCGAAACCATGCCTTTTGGCCTGGCAAATGCCCCAGCGACATTTCAAAGACTAATGAACACTGTCTTGCAAGGGCTGACACAAAAAGGAGTGTCTCGTATATATGGACGACGTGATAGTTCATGCAAAGGACAGTGCTCAACACCTTAAGCGTCTGCGAAACGTCTTCGAGCGGCTTTGCGGGGCAGGACTGAAGCTTAACCCGGCCAAGTGCTCACTTCTTAGGGACTCGGTAAAATTTCTGGGCCACATTGTCTCGAAAGAAGGTATTAGAACAGACCCGGATAAGGCAGATAAGGTCAGAACGTGGCCGACCCCAACCAATGCGGAGGAATTGCGTAGTTTCCTAGGATTAGCGACCTATTATCGTAGGTTTGTTAAAGATTTTGGGCATATTGCTTCCCCCCTTCACAAGCTCACAGAGAAGAATCGTCGATGGGAGTGGACGGAGCAATGCCAACAGGCGTTCTCGGAACTCAAAGGCCGTCTGGTGGAGGCTCCGATTCTTGCTTTTCCTAATTTTGAGAAGGACCACCCCCCTTTTATTTTGGACACCGATGCGTCAAGTAGAGCGTGGTGGACTCGGATGGAAGGCGCCTGACTTGTGGCTCTGGCTCGTGATTGGTCAATAAAGCCTGTTCTGTTGTACCAATCTTTTTCCTATTAGGGCTCGGGTATTCTACAAAGGTATGTAGCGTGGGACGGAGGGCCGCCATCTTAAAGTTCAGCCATTGGCCTAGTGACAGCGGCGCGCTGTGGTGGAGACATCATGTGAGAGGTGGTGTGAGTTCGGTTGCGTGGGCCTATGGAGCTTCGAATGAAGTGCCAAAGCCCGAGTGTCCTTTCACCTCACGAGTTTTTCTTTCTATTTCTAGAAGCCAAGCAATAGCCAATAAGCGGACACAAGCAACCCGGACCAACCATATAAGCAAACCCCTTGTCCATAATGAATATTAACCTTAATACTGGAGATTCCTATCAGGGTATTGAACCAATAAACCTATATAACTGTCCTTACGCCCTCTTATCCTGCCCAGGCATGTTACAGGTATTCTGATGGCAACCGGACCATCGGGAAAAGCAGCAAATAACTCAAAAAGCTGTAGGAGTACTGTTAAAGCTGGGGATTGTGTTGGTAAAATAAGGCGAAATGTTTATTTCCTTTCTGGACGTATACATTTCATTGCTTTTGGGGATAGCAAAGTGTGAAACTTTATGATTGAAACGGTTCCATGATACGGCTACTTGACTGCCATATATGCCTTGAATTTAGTTTTTCGGTGATCGACACATCTTCAAGTGAAAATGAATCACCTTTACTGAAATTCATGGCCGGTGACTACCGAATAATTTCTTTCAAATCACAGCCCTCCATTTTAACTTAGGCTGATTTCAATACAGAAAAGTTCCTACTCTTTTGATTACCTTTTCACAACCTGACACCGAACATCAACGGTTGGGCAAACGGCTGAGAAAATTCACATTCGGCATCAGCAAACTTCACAATAATGAAATGACACAATTTAATATCCATTTGGGGAGGCAATTTACTTAATTATCGTTCATTAATGCATTGTGGGAATCTATCAAATACATGTACAAGGTTTTCACATTTAGTATGCCATGACTTCTTATTTCCCATGTTAGACAATTATTAGATCTTTAGTGCTCCCTATTTCAAACTACGAACCCGTTCACCCATGAGTCCATCAGACGCATTTTAAACTCACACTAACTGCCAAATACACATCTTTTCAAATATTGAATGCACAGCCTACGATATCATCAGGTTTAATTGAGACATCAGGACGATGTACCATGGCGGAAATTAAAGTATTGAAATGCGAAAAATGCAGCATTCACGTGCGACCCGGCGTGTCAAGCCTGCAAGTTGCGTCCCGTACTGAAGGTTTTGGTTTTCCAGACATTATCAACACAGAATCTGCTAGCATTCTGAGTGTTTACAGGCAGAATACAAAAACTTAGTTGGTGGTAGTTCTATTGCATGATGTGTGTCAGTGTGAGCTACAGGCCGCAACATCGAAACTCTCATGAGCCATTTCCAGCATGGGAGATCCGAGAGACCAGGGACTTGTGGAAGCATGATTCCAGAGGTCGGCTAACAGATCAAACGAGATACCCCGCCCTTTTTTTTACAAAACAGCCTTAAAAAATCTGGGATCTTCACTTGGGCTCTTCTGTTGCGGGCATGCCTCAAGAAAACCCAGTTCTTATTTTTGACATCACTTTTAGAAATACTAGAGCCAAATCTCCTGAACAGACTTAGTCAGGGTACAGCATTAAAATTTCTCAAATTTGATGTAACTCATGATTGCGGAAAATATGATGATTTTATGCAAGTGTAACGTTAAAATGTAGCAGGCATTTCCGCAACCCTCCAGATATTTGGCGAATCTGCGGTTGGGGATGGCGATGTTACAGGGAGGTTCATTGGAAGACTCAAAAAACCGGAATCGCGTTTCTAGGTGTGTCCGTTAGATCGTCGTCAAGAGTCATGATTGACTGAAAAGCAGGAAAATGAATGTGGGAGGGCTCTTTTTTTCAATGACCTCAGTCACTACACCGACTAAAATCAGGTTTTAACCATTAGGAGTGTTCGCTTAAAGAAAAATAAGTCAGTTTCGCCCTTGAATAGTCTGCCTGGGAAAAAGCAGCTGAATTGGCGACAGATCAGTTCTCGATTATACTACGCTGTAACCATAAAAGGAACATAAAAATAGCTCACCATAAATGAGAAAAACATAGAAGTTGAAGAGAGGAAGTGCCAGACGTCATGAACATCGTAGAAGCCAAGAAGGATGCATGGTTGGTTCAACGCACGAGATTGCGCCGGCGTCACCTATGAATAAAGGATCCCACCAAATTTAGGCGACTTTTTCCTACGTCTGTCAGCGAATAAAGTGTTTCTCAAACATGAAACACATCGATAAGCAATTCAAAGCATCTGCACAATAATCTGTTACGAAATTTTGGGGTTCATTAGATTTCATTTTTACTCCAATGTACAGACAAGACAGTGCACTAGCATCCTAGCGAGATTTTTGTAGCCATTATAATAAGTCCAAAAAGACCACATTCTCGGAACTACCAATTGCATAAAAGTTGGTTTACGAGTCGAGTTGATTGCACAAATGATAAATTATAGGCCTCTATTACTACATCTCATTTAAGCGCAACTTTAATCATTCAAACCCGATTATTAAGACAACGAGACACAAAACATTTAAATCTAAACACAATCCTTTCCAACACATGAATGAACTGAGCACAAAGTTTTATTTCTCTAAGACTCCCCGAGTAGTAAGGAGCATTTGGTAATCGAAATATTATACTCGAAGTCCGAAGATAGCATCAATCGTAGTTCTATGATCCTCTTCAAAGAAGTTCCTTAATTTGTTGCGGTGGCGGATCTTCCTCGATAAGCTGTCATTACCTGGTCAATTGTTTCTTTAAAAACGCACCCTACTTCCAAAACAAAGTATTGAGAGTTAGTGAAATCGTCTATTTTTTACTGCGCCCTGATAAGGGTTTTTCCCGGTCTCCAATCTGTAACGAATTCTCTTCAGTGGTGCTGCATGCGACATAATTAGTTCCTAGTTTAGAAATACAACAGCCAATAAAGCATCGTTATTCGAACCACAACATTCTGAACACCTGTTAACAATAGCTCAACCGTGATGCACGCTAAACACAGCAACTTTCACGAAAATACACAAGTGTGCATAAGCCTATCGCGTTTTCATACCTCCCACGTGGTTGAGTGTTGAAGAAAGAAGTAAATAGCGGAGCTCCATGTGAGGCAGGCAAGGACGATAAACAACAAGGGCACACAGTGAAATCGCTCTCGGAAACGACACTGAAAGGTATATCAAGGAGCTAATGGTATAGCACAAATCCGGCAAAGCGAAATGCAGTGAAGCGAGTGAATTGCGTTAAAAGTAGAGAGCAGTCGCAGTCACCACGATGGTTCAATGCATTTCATAGGCAGGTTTTAGAAACTAACACATCGCAAATGATTAAACAGCGTTAATTTTTTTCTACGGCAAATTACAATTGCAAATGAACATGTTAAGCAGGGCTGAAATAAAAGTTAGGTAACATTGGGTCGCTCACTTTCATGATAACGTAGAAAAAGTAATACATTAAGAGGTTGATCATGAATATCGATAGGAGATATGAAGAGAAGTCTCTAGGCCGCGTAAAAAGGCCGAACACAGCCCTGAATAAAGAGTAAAAAAGCTTATATAAAACCGAGTTACGAAATGCAGTTTTATGTTTATGCAAAAAAATCCTCAAGTAATTGTTGTTTGACGTCGCGGGATATTCGTGAGGTGATTTTAGTCATGCAAACTGATTAGCCTAATGTCTGACTGGTAGAGAATGTCCAAATGAGAATTAATTGCGTACAACTTTTGAGAGGAAAGAGCTTATAGGACTGATGATTCTAGATTGCAACACCAAAATGACCAGATTACAAAGACATTAAAAATTACGTCAAAATCAGTAAGAGAAACCATATACGTCGGCAGCAACTAGTAAGGCTGCATCACAATCGTATTGATCATTAAAATTCATAAAAACCACAAACGAGAAGGTGATCGGAAATGCAGAAATACTTATTACGTTAGTTTCAGTGGTGAGGAGAAAACATTGAAATACAAGGTCGAGCGACAGATAACAACCAAAGTGATTTAAAATTGTACGGACAAGCTCCTATCTTAATGCCTACGAGGACAGTCAATGACATCTCCAATCCGTGTTTTCTCCAAGTCCTTTCACAGGACGCCATTGGCAATGCCAGACACATAATTACGCTTCTAACGGTTTTAAAGACACCACAGGTTTTGAATGCTTTAGTAGAGTTGATAGCTATAGGGGCAAACTTCACAGACAAGGTTGCCAGTTTTGGAACTACGGTCACTGATGTAGTTTTTTTGACGTGGAGAACATCTGGGCAATCACCCCTGATCACTAGAATAAGCATTAAAGGGCAACGGCTAAGCGTCAATGAGCTGGTAAAGAAGCGGAATTCTTGCATAAAAAGTTCGAAATTCTGTATAAAAGAATGGCAAGGAGATCTGGAAGCTATTAAATTGTTAAAGAGCCTTCAAATGATTATTTATGAGCGTTAAGAATAACAGTAGAAAAATCAGCCAGATAACTGTAACGCTCAAAAAGACGTAAAAACTTACATCCCGATATTAACGATGTTAGCAACAAGTAAAAGGAGCATGCGCTCTAAATGCATCGGCACCAAGTAGTGGATGCCATCAGAGCGTATTAAGTTGTAGAGTCGACGCGGAAGACAAATGTCTGAATGGAAAATGGCGAAAAAAGGTGTGGTTAAGAGACATATATTAGTGAGACTAGGAAATTCCTAATTTCGCGGACGTGAGTTGACACTGATATGTTTTTATGAAAACACGTACTTTATTTTCAGGAAGTGAAACAGGTAAGCAATTTTGCTAGATCGTAATTGGGTTCAAGTAGTCAGTCTTGTGAGCGCATTCATACCTTACTTAAAGTCTTTGATGAATAAAGCCGATGTAAATTGTCGCATCACCGAAGGAGACCGACATAAACTAGTGGGTGGTTAAGCAGAATTCGTTGACTGCTGCGTTGGCTTAAAGATGCGGTTAACCTATATAATTAAAGTTCTGATGAAATTGGTTCATGAGGTTGAATAATCCGTTTTTGGGCGACAGTTTAAATCAAGACAACTGTTCCTTGACATTACAGCATTTTATGATTATGCGGATTGCTTAAGTACGACGCCATAGCCGTAGTCAGACGAAAACAATCAAAACATGCCGTCAAGTCGTGTGAAATAAACTTACCGAAACTCCAATGCCCCATGTAGTAGATCTCGGCAGTTAGCCAAATGCTCATTGTCAAAAAAACTATCGTGAAAACTGCCCAAAAAGTCTCCCCGCCATAGACCTAGAAAAGGAAAGCCAACAAAGCCGAAATTACAAATCACGACGTTAAAACACGCAATTGATGATATTAAAGCAAATATGAGCAAGACCGAAAACGTTTTTGAGAGCGCACCTAGTGCATTTAAAACACGGAACTTCGGACAATTCGGGGAAGCAGAAATAATGTCAACCACAATTAAAATAACTACCGGGAGCGATTATACGGCAAAAATGCGAGGACCAAACTGCGACGTGCACTTTGAGTTTGAACTTAAATTGTTGTTACATGCCTAAGTGACTTATTTCTATCCTCTATAGGATCTACAATACAGAATAATACGGGTCGCCTTCGCTGTTCTTGACGTGACTGGCTTCGGTGTGCATATTTTGATGATAGAGCAAGAGTTCAGCAATCTCGTTTAATTTTACAGAATTTTAAGGGAACTCGTCTAGCACTTCCAACATTGGGCATGACATTTTTGTTTGATTAAAACTACATATACCTGCGAAACATTGCTAACACTGAAAATAACCCAATATTGTCCAAGACCGCAACAATCGAAATTTCGGTTGATGCGATCAACACCTTGTCAAGGTTTTCCGTTCTGGTAATCAACTGATTCGAATGCGAAGACGCAAATTCAACAAAAGCACTTAATAAACACCACTGCACTTTCTTTTGGAGGATCAAATTGCTAGGATACTAAGGCACATTTCCATGAGGGCAACAATGGTCAATAAGAAACGCAATAGAGTATCACGCACCACACCGGTGACGCCGGCCAAAATGACAATGGCCATCACCATATAGGCTGAGTGGGCGGATGCGTTGATGTCCGGATGTCTTGTCTGGTATATTTTAAGCATCAGGATTAAAGCCAAGATATACATGTACGCAGTGTCTACAAAAAAGTAATACTTCATAATGGGTAGATAAACTAAAAATGTATATCGGAACAACTAAAAAAGCGTTCAAGAACATGGTGTAAATGGAATCGAATTAATTCAGTGATTTAGTGAGATCATAAAATACCTTTTTCAGTCACTTTAAAAAACACGTGGCATTGAATTGGCAAGCAATTAGTAACTCAGAGCGGTTAAAAGTAAGTACGAAAACCACCCCGAAACAGATAACTTATAAGCACAACTAAGTTTGTATAATTTGCGTAAATGATCATCAAGTGCGCGAAAAATCTCATTTTGGTCTTTAAATGGCGGAACGACACATAAAATCAGTGCACCACAAGACGAATGACAGATCACGGAGCCGAACGACTTGTGTACAAGGGTCGTAAATAACCACGAACCAAGACGCAAACAGTCATCGAATTACAAATGTCAAGAGCATCGGTACCTCAGATTACAACAAACAGACCCGATCTAAAATGTGACCACAAACCTTTCAAGGATTCTGAAGCTGCATTTTACCAAGGCAAATAATATTTTCTCGTATGAATGAAGAAGTTCTTCACCCTTTCAATGTGTGGTCAGGACAGATGACATTCAATTCACTCACCTACGTAAAGAAGAACCCCTGAGAAAATTTGATTTTATCAGTTCCAAGAGGGACGCGACGGGTTGGGGGAATTTCTAAAGGCTAGGGAGCGGGTTTTTTTTATTACAGCTGAAGCATTTAATTTCGCGTTTACGTAATCGATTTCGCCAAATGTCAGCTCTGAGTGGGGAAAAATTTTAAAAACAAATCCGTTTTTAGTTATTTCACACGACATGACACGCCTTCGAATGAGATTTCTCGACTTATTTTACTATAAAATTTGGTTTTGTATGAGTCTGTAAGTAAAAGGCTAAATTTAGCTCATTTCCTTTCTTTTTCATGAATTTAAGAGTTGGCAATATGAGGTCGATTATGGGTGCTCTTTCATGAGAGCCAGAAAAAAATTTGGCCAAGGGATGCTTAAGAGTTCTAGGCGACCGAAACGGTTGCCAGGAGGCCTCCGACAAAGCCAACAGAAAACTTACCAAATTGAAAGTTGGAGAAACTAGGGCAGATATGATAGCATGCACTAAGCACACCCTCCATTGTCAAAGCCAATCCCATTGCATAGAAGAGTCCATAGTGTTGTGGTATTCCATAAGCCTAAAATAAACAAATGTTCCGCTCTTTCAGTGCTGCAGGGGCACTGGTCAAACAACTCCCATTTGGTATGTGAGCGGACGAGAAAGCCAATAAAAAATGCGGGGTGGAAAGCGGATAAATTGTTTTCCACGAGCCCCACTCATCACTGGATAAAAAACAGCGTCATTTCATAGTTGCATTTATAGCTATCGATGGTGGTACCTGCGCTCAGTTTCAGGCAGTGCTCGACAATTTAAAAAAGGACGTCCAACGAATGACATTATAATTGGGGGTCAGTAAAAACGGCGACGACAGGCGACCTGACACATCTGCCCAGAGTAGTGGGGTGTACGCATTTGTGGCTGATAAATCGTCATCAGGATACACAACAAATTCAGTTGTGCCACAATTAAAATCATATTTAAAGACTACACTAAAAAACTATGGACCGAGTTAATTTTAGTTACATTTATTTGAAGAAAGTGAGCTGTCTGAAGTAAAACAACAAATGAATGCTAGGGCAGTGGACAAAAGCATCCAATTCACGAAAATTCCGGGTAGAGAGGAGACGAACGGGAATGTGAAAGGCACCAAGGATACAGCTAAGAAGTGGTCAAGACAGACTTCTGCATAGGTAACATGACCAGGCAAGGGAAATTCTAAGTCCAAAGTAAAAAGAGCCGAGTTGTGACGAGACGATTAAAAGAAAGAAAAAAAGCGGAAAAACTCAATAGTAAAGAACGAAGGTGTCTAGGCGTGTAATACGATAAAATCAAAACGAGTCTACACCAAACGTCCAGTCTGTATGATGGCAACCGTTAACACAACCGTGTGCTTGAATGTAGCAAGCAAGTCGAAATGTAGTGCTGTGGTTATAAGCAGTGTGAAAAATTTTTTAATCACCCAAGGGAAAGTGCAGCTTGCTATTTGCGTCAGTGAGTTTAAATAAGGGAGCCGAAAACGAGTAATGTGCGAACACGAGATAATAGGCTATGGATGAATCGTGCAGTGAGCCAATAGCTTAATGAAATGCTACACGACAACGAGAACTGCCATCAGCCACGATCTGACCAAAAACCCCTGGTGCACTTTACTATCAACCTTAGAATAAGTGGTTAGAGAAATTTAAGCTCTCTGGTGGGGGTGATTGATGGTTCTGTCTATTTCCAGGGACGGTTTGAACCAAACTTGTAAAGAGGCTTGTAGGTGCATTAGAAATAGCAAAGGTACATGACTAGTAAGTGGAAATGTGGGTGAAAAGAATGAGAACACACCTGGTTATCAGATGTCTTGAATTTCTGAGAACGACGATACATGAGATCTCTGAAAAATTAAAACAACAGTAAAAGTATTATATTTTATATTTTAATTCATAAATATGTTACATGAAGTGGAGTTGGTCTCAAGACAGCTCCAAGTGAGATTAATAATGATGAGGTGATGTTAACATGGGCACTGACCAGCACGCAGTGCAATTATCCACTGCAGCATAGAAAATTGCCCTATGGTACAACTATGGCACAACTTGTTCTTTTTACGTTTTCATGAAAATACAAGGACACGTAACAAGTTTAAAAATTACCATCGAATGGCTGTAATAGTACGACTGAACAGAGAAAATTTTCTTTAAACTACGGTGTGGGGCAAAATTTATGCAAGATTTTGATTCTTATCCAAAGTCAGAGTTTTGATTGAAAAAAATTAAAAGTATATGAAGAAGATGCGTTTGAGCATAAAACAGGTTCTGTCCCTCGGCGGCAGAGTGCACACTGGGGTAAATGGATTGTCGCCTGTCAATTTTCCCAAGTAACATAAACTTACCAACAGCTCGTGTACTTGAATACTGCAATTTCAGGAATGTCCTGTCTCATACGCATAGGCAAAAGGTTCGAGTCAAGGTTTAACACATGTGCTAATGAAGCTGCCACTTGACGCACCAATAAATTCGACAGATAGTGCAAGTTATGATGAAGCAGTCACTAAGCCCCAACGCCAAATCAGCTTGTACAGGGTTGCCTGGATTTCGCATGCACGACCTGTCTTGCTTTTGAGTCCGAAATAACAATATTCTCGATCTGAAGCATTAGCAACCTCAATGCAATTTGGAGATGCAAACACGCAAACAGTAACTTTGACGTTTATCGCGGAACGGATTTTCGGCAATTCAGGGTGCGGCAGTTAACATTATCTGGTAAAGTGTCTCGATGACAACTGTTGTCAATACTGCAAATTATCAAGGTTATTCACACATGGGCTGGTAGTAATCAACGTTATTAATACAAGGCCTGCCAAGATTTCTCCATGTGTGTCACCTACTTACGTTGTCATAGCGTTTAGAAAATTCCAGTCATCAGAAAAGCGTGTAGTGAAACGTGTTGATTCACGTCCAATAACCCGGTCGTCGTAGCCGCACACATACGTCCCCCGCCTTTACAGTCACTGGGGCAGCCTGCTCATTCACCCCTCTGTATGTACCACCACAGCCACCCGCTCGATCCATGTGACCATTCAAACTTCTACATTTTAACTAGTCCACCCAACTGAATCAGTCAACACAACACTATGAGGTTGAGCTGTCTAGTAAACTGTAGTGCCTCGTCCTCTCCGGTCTTCCTAATCTTAGTGAGTACCCAGGATAGGGTGATCGGCCTCGATTAACGCAGTGACTCTGGCGTGGTTCAAGATAACATGCTGGGGCCTTCAGCAAGCAAAACCCGACCTTTCGCTACGACGCAAGGCAAACCGTTGATGTGGTGGTAATAAGAATAGGGAATCATAATGAATCAATCGATGAATTACACCACCAGACTTCGCCAATTTGCGATTGCCGAAAAAGGTCTCTGTCCCGGGGACACTGCAAATATTACGATTTTGATACACAATATAGAAAAAGCTCTAGGCATGCAACCAGAAGCAGCTGGAGAAACCACAGCCATCTACCTCCTCACATGTTCACAGACAAATAAATTGCTTTGTAGTTGCAATCAGATGCAAAACTCACCGGCGTGCAGTGAGTCCAAGGAAGAGAAGGCCCAACATCACATAGCCGATGTTGGAAATGATGTTATTAAAAGCTGTGAACAAACCGAGAGGATGAGCACATTCGAAATTGTAGTAACACATGTCTTCGTTACCCGTGTCGTGCAAAGCCTATAAATATGGATAACAATTCCACAAAACCTGGCTACAACACGTTGTAAACATCAAGACAGGATTGAATATGCACAAACAACATTTTAGCAATATCCATGACCGATTTAAGAAGAAAACAGCAGGCTTTTTTTGCTAAAGCTAAAAATAAATTTATTCAGGGGTGTTATTTGGAAGATGGGAAATAAAGTGACTCCGCCTTGGTAAAGTGGACCAGATAATACTGAAACCAATCAGCTCCAGTGGCTAGTGAAGGTATTTGACTGTGTTGAGCCGAATTTGGCGAACAATAGTAGCATAAACAAAGTGGCAACCATGAGAAAATCCACTGACTAGAATACAGGTCCAAGCATTAAATAATTCTCAATTATGTGTGCAGATATTGGAGACTACTATAAATGGCAACCAACGCAAACTTAGGCGGAATACCGTGCGGAGTAAAAAGTTAGGGAAATGACTATATGCCTACCCTCTGATATGTCATGACCAGCTGGATTACAGGCAATCCGTAGAAAATGGAAATTATGATGAGATACCTAAAGGAAAAAAACAGGATTACTCTTTTTATGGATAACGTTTAAGTAAACAAATATTATGAACAGGAACTAGGATGTGAGGTGCATAAATAAAAGTAAAAAAGTATAACTAAAATGGACTACTGGTATTAGAAAGTGGAACACTAAAAAACCAACCCACCAAAAATAAAGGAGGTATTTCCTATCCAGAGTAGAATAATGTTTGCGTGAGAGGTCTGACACATAGAGATTCCGCTAAATTGACAAAACCACCATTAAATACTAGGTTATTCAGGAACAAAAGCTGGTTCATGAATACGGATGGGCATAAAGCAAACAGACGTTCAGTAACAACGCGCATTAATATAAAACCGGAGTTTGTTAGAGAGATGATCTTAAATCACGGGCACATAAGTCATAGTTGTGAATTGAAATCAAAGTAAATACAACATATTCTCATCAAACATAGTTGAAACTGCGTGGCTTCACTTCCGAGAGAGTCATAAGGTAATTTTTGACTTTTCCCATAGAATCACACCTTTGCGTACTCAAAATATTTTGCAGAGAGCTAAACAGATAG